CTTTTATTGTATTTATGCAACTTTGTTATGGGTTTATATGTACTTTTACTCATTTTAAATATTTTCTTATATAATTAATGTCACAAAGCAACATCTAAATGAAGTTTGTCTTTTGTGTTTCTATTAAAATTCTTTTTCTCTTCTTAGTCACTTTTTTGTATTAGTTAATTTTTAGAGAGATAAATACCAATAGAAATCTTTTTGGAGATTTAGAAATAATTATCATATAATTTTACAATGTATTCACTATTGGAAATACCAGCGTTAGATTACAGTTAATTTACAGTGTCAGGTAACACCTACCACAGATAGGTTATAACCACATATAACAGTGATAGTAGTTGTCCCCTAATATTGATTTCCCCCTTCTAATTTTTCTTCAAGCATATTACTACTACTAGTAAAAGCATCATTTCAATCTCCTTTCTAGTTAGATGCAGTCATGTGTCTAATTTGCCTAGTGATAAATAAGCAGAAGTAGTATGTGCAATATTCAGAAAGTAGCCATAAAAGAAGTGGTACACATCCTCTCCCCTCCCCTTTTGTCTTTCTGCCGAAATCTGGATGTGATAATTGGAACATGTGTGGAACCACATACTGAGAGAATGAGGAAAGCATTAAAATAGAAGGTTGCTAAGAACTTCATGAAGTTACCTTGCTTCGGCTGGCTTATTTACATCTGGATTTCTTCGATACAACAGAAATAAACGTGTGTCTTATCATTCATAACCAAAACTTACCAAGAATATACCAAGATAGTTTGAGAACGTTTGTACCCTTGTTAAATATCCTTTTTAGATCTTTTTATGTATTTTTTTATATTTCATTTACTATATTTTATTTGACCTATGCTGTCACTTTTTGATGGTTTGCATTTAAGGAGAATAGAAAAGGGAGTGATTCACTCTGTTTAGGAGAGAGAATCAGAGAAACCTTTACAGAAGAGGGATACGTCTGGTTTAGATTTTTGAACTACAAATTAGAAGAGAATCTGAAAGGGGATATAGGGTTAATAGATTTGAAAGAATATGTCTTTCAAATCTAAATATATCTGAAGATAATTTAAAACAATATTGTTGATATATATAATTTGTGGAAGTAAGCCTAAAGGTTAGATCTGGTAGGGATTTATAAGCCAAGAAGACTGGTAAGGGCTAGGTACATAGTGATCTGTTCTTTTAATAGTATTAATTTTAATATTATGTATGGTTTTTCATTAAGTATTTTTAATAAATACATCTGAATAATAAGTGTTGAGGAAGGGGAAGAACAAAGCTAATATTTGTTTAATAGTCACTATCTAAAGTGTTAAATCTTTCTGTCTGAACTTTTCATGATTTTAGAAGATACATTATTATACTTTACTAATGACTAAACTGCGCCATGGAAAGGTCAAGTGTCCTTCCTACTCTGTCTTAAGTAGTAGTTAAGTCATTATTTGAAAAGTGTAAAAGTCAACATTTGTAAAACAAGGGAATTATGTATTATCCAACCTTTAATTTTTACTTTTCTAATACCAAGGGAGAGTTATAGTAAATTTTAAAGTAGCTGCAAGTTATAACAACAGTGATCAAGTCAGAAGTAAAAGTTTGTATGTGAATTTCTATATTTTTCAAACTAATAAATGCAAAAGTATTAAAATTTTAAAATTTTCATAGAGTACAGTTATAAACTATGCCTTAATCATTTATTTACTAAAGTCTGAATATTTTAAACAGTATCTTCAAAATTAATATGTAGCAACACCATTTTAAAAATTGCTTCACATAGATCCATATTCTGTTACTCATAAATGTATATTAGGTAAAAGATAGGTATTGGGTACCTATATTAGGTAATGGGATGCATTCATCCCATTACATTTCTCTGAAAAATTTGGCTATTTTTACATTTAACAATGAAACTAAAAAGCACAGTGTTTTATACTTGAGTGGATATATAAATTATAGCATATAACACAGTCTCAAGTTAAACTTTTGAGCATGTCAGAATGTATACTGTTACACAATCATTTGATTTAATGATACTTTTTTATTTATCAGAAAATTTTAAATAATCTATGTATTTACTATATCTGCCTAGAAAAGAAAAAAACCTAACAGTTCTAGAAATAATTGTAGAAGCATGAGATACTAAAGAGAAAAATAATTAAAATTACTTGAAATTTAATCCAGCTGGTAAATTGTTCCTGTCTCATACTTTGTACAGCACCTTGGGACATTTCTACAGTGGGGTGTACTTTCACAGCAATGTTAGTTTTGGAGTAGATAAAATACAAGTGTAGGGCCAGGGATTTAGCTCAGCAGCATAAGTGCCTGTCTGGCAAGCATGAGGTTGTGAGTTTAATCCCCGGTACCAAAAAAATAAAAATAAAATAGAAGTGTGATCTATAGAAGTTGCTTAGAGATAAGAAGATAGATGTTAGATACTGTACATCAAAAGGTACCTTTCTATCATAATGCAAGACAATACATATAAACTTTGCAATGTGCAGACCGCCTTGTCTAATGCTTGTGAGTATATTCTCTGATTTCCTCTTTCCTCAAAAGAAACTCAACTTTTGTCCAAAAACCTCATGATTTTTGTTTCTTCATTATCCTTTTTGCTTAATATTTCTATTTTATTTTCTACTCTAGTAGCTTTTATTTTAAGTGTCACCCTTATGAAAGGAAATTTCAGAAAATGTATATACTTGGCACTAAACTCAAATGTCACAATTAATGTCATATGTTACCACTTTCATAAAATCTCTCAATCCTCAAGTTAGAATTAATCTCCCAATCATTTCTGTGTTACTAGTAATTGTTATTTCTGATATAGTAGTGTTCCTTAATACTAGGATTCTTAAGTCTGAGTATGCAGGTACATTCCTAGTATTAACTTCTGTAAGAATTTTAAAATTTCAGCTTCATTATAATATGTTGATATAAGCATATTCTTAGATCATTTATGATATGAACCTTACAGCCAATTACTGCAGGTATTTTCAGGATGATGACTATGTTAGTCTAATGAGTTAAACAGACTTGATATATAAATGTACCAAGTGAAGGCCTGATGATATCAGATTGAGTCAAAATACTATATTACTTTGAGTAAAAAGAAGCAATGGATATATTAAATCATTCATGGCATGCCAAACTATCGATCAGACCATCAAACCCAAATGTAATAGGAAAGTAATGGGAAAGTAGTAGTCAGTATCATATTCATATTGTGTATAATAACAATCCACTTTAACAAACCATCATGTGATACTTACTGAAATATGTTAATTTTGTAGCTTTTATGTCCATATTTATTAATTTCTTTATCTTTGAATAAGATCTGGAAGCAAAAGGAATAGTTTATCCCTATTTATAGTTTTTTCTATATTTCAGTAATCAATGCAGGCATGCATAGACTTTTTTCCTCCCTTCACAAAGGATTCATCTGTAATTTGAGTTTCAGAAACATTATTATAAAGCTTTTAGATATCTTATGTAATGAGTTGTGTGTTCAGCTGTTCCCTCTATTAGATTGTAAACTCTTTATAATCTAGTAGACATGGATTATGTTTATTCATCCCTATAGTCTTAGGATATGTCACAATACCTTGTACCTAATAGTTGTCCAGTGATATTTGTGCAATAATCTCGCGTTTGTGTACTATTACATGAAAAGAATTAATGACATTTTTGCTTCCTTAATGTGTTAAAAATGTGTTAAACTAAACTAAAATAGGTACATATATAGAAAATATACATACACAAAGAAAAAAATATATATGAAATTTTATTTTTTCGTTTTATCTTGCCCTGCTAAAGATGGAACCTCTAGGGCCTTGCATATGCTAGGCAGTGCTCTACCACTTAGATACTCTATCTATGTATGTGAAACGGGAGGAGATACTGGGAATTAAACCCAGGTATACCCTGTCACTGAACTACCTCCTCAACCATTTTTTCTTTCTTTTTTTTTTTTGGAGAAAGGGTCTCACTAATTTACCCAGGCTGCCTCTGGAGTATCTCAGAATATAGGTAAGCAGTATAGCATCCAGTGAACTGTATATACAATGTGAATTTCATATGTTAACTAATGTCTCTTTTAAAATTAAACATTTCCTAGAGTTTTGATCACTGGAAGTGTTCTATGAATTCTGTTCATTGGATAATCAAGTTGTTTTTCTCAAAGCTGAGCTCTGCTGACATGTCTTGAATGTATTGTGGATTCTCTGTTTCAGACAGGGAAACAAAGTGATTATCACAATAAAGCAAATCACACAAAGTCTTTAGTTTCCCAGTATATATCAAAATTGTGCTTACATTATACCAGAGTCTACTGTGTGAAATAAAATTATCTCTTAAAACATATATATATATATATATATATATATATATATATATATGTATATAACTTGATTTAAAAATACTTAATTGGGGTTGGAGGTGTAACTCAGTCATAGAGTACTTATCTGCCATGTATAAGACTCTGAGTTCAATACCCAGCATAGCACAGTACAAAAACAAAACAAAACGCTTATGATCATCTGAACTAGAGGGTCTTGCCTTGATATTGATGACTGCTTACTGATTCAAGTGGCAATTTCTTAAAGTAAGACAACATTGAAACTTGCCATATTGACTCTTCCTTTCACAAAGTATTTTTGTGTAGCAGTTGATACAGCTTGATCATTTTATCCCCAGAACTTATTTTAAAAGTGAAGTCAATTCTTTCAAACCCTGCCATTCCCCTATCAACTAAGTTTATGTAGTATTCTAAATCCTTTGTTGATGTTTTAATATTGTTAAGTGTCTTCATCAGGAGGAACTTTGACCTCATCCATTAAAACCTTATGAAATTTCAGCAATTCAGTAACATATTCAGGCTCCTGATTTTATTTCTTTTGATGTTTCTGTCACATTTGTAGTTACTTCCTCTACGGAAGTCTTGAATCCTTCAAAGGGGGTTCAAAGTCATCTGTGAAAGTTGGAATCAGCCTCTTCCAAACTCTTGTTATGATGTTGTGTGAAAGCAGAGCAGGCTAGCACTCTCCTTCATAAAGATGAAAGTGGCCCTCAGGCTTAACAACGTACATACAGTCAAGGCATTGCCACCTCTTCATTTCATGAAACCAATTCCTGTTATGGTTGATATTTTTATCTTCTTTTATGAATCATGAATATTCTTAATGACATCTATAATGGTAAATCTTTTCCAGAAAGTTTTCAATTTACTTTTCCTGGAATTCAGTCATGGAAAACCTATAATACTCAAGCCACAGTGGGCTATTTGTATCACTGAAAGCTCTAAAAGGTTTGTCATCAGTGGTGGGTCTATCAGAGGAGTCACTATCTAGGGCAAATATAGCCTTATAAAGTATATTTCATGTGTAATATAACTTGAAACAAAATTACTGCTTGATCTGTGAGCTAAAAATGGGTAATATATTGGTAAGAATGAAAACATTAATCTTTCTATACATCTCCATAAGCACTGTTAGGTGACCAGTGCCAAAGAACAATACTATTTTGAAAGTAATCTTCTTTTTCCTCTAAGCAGTAGATTTCAAAGTGGGCTGAAAATATACAGGATACCATGTTTTAAGTAGATATGCTGTCATCCAGGCTTTGTTCTTTCCTTTATACAGCACAGGCAAAGTAGATTTAGTATAATTTAAAAGGTTGTATAAATGCTAAAGTTTTCAGAATACTAAATAAGCATTGGGTTCAACTTGCTGCATTATCCCTTAAAAGAAAGTGATACTGTTTTTTGAAGCTTTGAAGCCAAACACTGACTTCTCCTTTCTAGCTATGAAAGTCTGCAATAGTGTTTTCTTTTAATAAAAGACCATTTTATCTACATTCAAAATCTGTAATTCAGTGGAGTCTCTTTCTTAATTATCTTAGCTGGATCTTCTGTACAATGCTGTGGTTTCTAAGTCAGTACTTGCTGCTTCACCTTGCACATTTGTGTTATGGAAATTTTCTCATTCCTTAAACCTTTATAATCAGAATCAGACTTTGCTAACTTCAAATTTTACTTCTTCAGCTCCCTCATCTTTCTCACCATCCACAGAATTGATAAGTATTAGGGTCTTATTCTGGCTTAGTCTTGGGCTTAATGGAATGTTGTGACTGATTTGATCTGTCTAAACCACTAAACCTTTCTCTATATCAGTAATAAGGCTGCATTACTTCATCATTCTTGTGTTCACTAGAGTAACATTTTAATTTCCTTCAAGAAACTTCCTTTGCATCCACAGTTTGACTATTTGGCATATGAAACATATCTTTTGGCCTGTCTGGACTTTCAATATGCCTTTCTTTCTAAGCTTAATCATACCTAGTTTTTTATTTAAATTCAGAGGTGTGTGATTCTTCCTTTCACTTGAATATTCAGAGGCCCTTATAGGGTTATTAATTGGCCTAATTTCACCATTGTTGTGAAGCAGGGTATAGGGAGGCCTGAGGAGGAGAGATGAGGGAATGGCTAGTTGGTAGAAATGGTAGAACATACATAACATTTATCAGTTAAGCTTGCTGTCTAATGTTTGCGGAATTCATGCAAACTGATTACTGTAGTAAAATCAAACATTACTGATCACTAATTACTGTAACAGATAATAATGACAGAGATATAAGTTTGAGTATTATTAAAACAAACAAAAAGACCCCACAATTGTCTGTGAAGTGTAATAAAGCAAAGTACAATCAAATGTATGCTTGAAAAGTACGGCAAGAGATTTCTTGATGTCTTAGAATGGAGCAGGGCTATGTAAGCATAAGTGCTTCAGGGAATAAGACAGCAGTACATCATTGCAAAAATGTAGGTTTTTGTACTTAGGCCAGTTTGAGAGCTTAGTTCCCTCAGGCAGGAGGAGAGGCAGGAAAAGGGACTGGAAAAGAATATGGAAAAGTGCTAAAGACATCATCTTCTATCTTTAGGTACAGCTTAAAGCCACAGTACCTAATTAACTTTTCTTTCAATTTAAGTGGAAGTAAAACTGGCTAACTAAAAACCTTCCAGAATAGCAAGTAGATTTCCCACTTTTCAGACTGTTATGATAGACTTTTGGATCATGTTTCTACAACGCAGTTTAGCTATCTTACCGACTTCTTCAGTGTATCATTTCATACTTAAATTCGATTACCTTGTCCTATTTACATACATTTATTTCCCTCTACTTTTCAATACACATAGTGAGAGCACTCTTTTAGCCACACACATAAGTGATGATTTTGTCTGCATGTCTTTTTTTCATACATTTGCCTTTTTTGAAATGCTTCTCCCTTTCCTATCCAGTGTCAGTGCATTTCTCATAGGTTCTTGCAGGGTTATTTTGTTTTCTTTTGACAACTTTCCTTTTCTTCCAAGATCTGTTCTTTATTTTTAGTGCCCTAGACCTCTCTTTTAGATGTAGAACTTCTAGTATCAGCTCTCTATATGACATTGGTATCTGACTCTCCCACAGGCAACCTACTTAACACATGTAAACTTTAACCCATTTTTTTCTAAGGTTTTCCTTGTTTATGTACTTTTTGTATCAGTCAAAAATACCAACCTCTATTCAGCTTCTCAAGCAAAAACATTAGTTATCTTCAATTGCTTTGTGAAAAACATCTATTCTGATATCAAATCTGTTGATTCTCTGCATATAGTATAATAAAAACTAATGTTTATGTAGTACTTACTATTTGCCAGATAACATTTGAGCTGTAATAACTAATTTAATGTTTTGAACTTTGAATTAAACGCTATTGTTATTCCTATTTTACCTAAGACATACAGTTTCGCTTTGTTAACAGAAGTATACATGACCACCATGAGGCTATCCAAAATAAAAAAGCAAAACTATAATGATCAAACCTACATTAAAATTAATGAAATGATAGAAAGACATACTAAAAGTCTTTTGAGGGGATATTAATCAGGACCTAGTTTTTCCAGCTAAAAGTATTAAGGGAAGAAGCCAGGGGTGTTGGCCAGTGGTACAGTATATGCTTAATATGCACTAAGCCCTGAGTTCAGCCTCTAGCACACATGCATGTCTACACATGAAAAACCTTAAGTGAAAAAAATGATTGGCATTGGGTTGCGATAGAAGCATCTAAGGATTAAAAGGGCTATGAGAGTAATATGAGCCAATTCCATGTATGGTTTTTATTTAGTCCAGCTTCAAAAAAAAACAAACCTATTGGGGGCTGGGGATTTAGCTCAGCGGTATAAGCACCTGCCTTGCAAGCAGGCAGTCGTGAGTTCGATCCCGGATACCGATAAAAACAACAACAAAAAACAAACAACAACAACAACAACAACAACAAAAAAAAAACCTATTTTATAATAAGACATGTACATATAACATGTATTTGGTATTAATGAATTGTTTTAAATTATTTTATATTTGTAATAATTTTTGATTGTTTATCCCTATAAAAAGCATAAATTTGTACTGTAAAACGATGTTTATCTTTTTGAAGAAAAAACTCAATCATTTATTTTTTTAAACTCAGCATCTATGATAAAAGAGAACTTGTTAAAGGAAGTAACAGAACATTGAGCCTCATACCATTACAGTTATACAGTAAATTTTCATTATTTTATTAATCCATATTTCTCCTACAAATATTCATTACTTGCTTAATGCTTCCTCAGTACATATGCAGTGTTTCATAGAAATATCAGAAATTTAAGGAAATAAAAACTAACATTTCTAAAACCTCCATAAAAATCATGATGGTGACAATAATAATAATAATATACAGTAGTCAATGTTTCAGCTCATAATTATGTGTCAGGCACCCATTCATGAGTTTATGGCTTTTAACAACTTCATGAAGAATAAGCACTGTTATCTTTCTTTTACAAGTGGGAAAATAAAGAAGCTTAGCAGTTTTCTTAAGATCACAGAACAGTCAATGAAGATCAGAAGTCAGTCTCAGAAATTTAACATATTGAGTCTGATCAGTGCCATCATTATTATTAATATGTCTCCTCCCCACCAAGATGAGAAAGCATTATGATTTAACTTCAGTAACCAGGAGATACAGGTCATATTAGACCAAAATGAGAACTTTTTTTCTATCCTAACCTAAAGCAATAACAAATGTTTCAAGTATGTGTAAATTTTGATAACCCATTTATTTGTTTGTTTGATACTACAGATTGAACCTTGCATCTTATTCATTCTAAGCACACATTTTACCACTGATCCATAACCCCAGACCCCAATAATCCAATTTTAATTGAGACTCTTAGCAAAGACATGGATGCTCAGTAATGTCCTGAATACATTTAACATTTTAGCACTTAATATTTTACAAACATGTAAGAAATTATAAGCTTGAAATTTTTGTGATCTGAGATTTTTTAATAGATGATTACTGAATACTTACTATATTGAAGAGATGTGGTTTTTACCTATTGCAAATATAGTCAGTTACATTCGTTTGGTTAGCTTTGCTTGTAACCTGTTGCTTTTCTTTTCTTTCCTTTTCTTTTCTTTTTATATCGGTACCGGGGATCAAACTCACGACCGCCTGCTTGCAAGGCAGGTGCTTATGCCGCTGAGCTAAATCCCCAGCCCACCTGCTGCTTTTCAATAAACAGGTGATCATATGGGGTCTAACAGCACTCATTAAAACAATTACATATTTCTTCTGCTTTTGTGATTCCTTTTATTTTTCACTTCCTGCCCTCTAAGGGAGAAATAAAATAGAGGTTAATGATGTGGGACAGTGCCACTATATTAGACTTATTAAGTAACTACTCCAAGTTGACATAACTAGTGAGGGTCGCAACTGTAGCTGCAATTCATATTTATCTAACTTCTGTTACAATACCCTCAAAGAATATAAAACTAATTTGTTTTCAAGAGACCTTAATATATGTCTTAGTTACTTTCTTGTTGCTGGAACAAAATACTTTATATACACAAGTTAAAGAAGAGAAGTTTATTTTGGCTTACAGTTTGAGAGGTTTCAGTCCATAGTCCACTGGCTTCAAAGCAGGGCAGCATAACTGAAGTGAAAGAGTTCATGGCATAGCAGGAAGGAAGCAGCAAGACTTCCTTCTTTCCCTTTGTATTCCATCCAGGCCACAAGTCTATTGGTGCTACCTACACCCAGGGTGGGTCTTCCCTTTTCA